TCTGCATTACCCCTTCCGCAATCAGTCCTGATATTGGGGATTCCATTGGTGTTCCGTTGATTTGTTTGAATGTACGGCCGTTGAAGATGAAATGGGTTGTGAGGCACAGATCCAGCAAGTTCAGGGTGCTGTCCTTGTTGATGATGTTGGTGCCACAGATGAGTCTGCTTTCTTGATTCATCCAGCAATGTGGCAATTGTCTCTTTGGCTATGTCGATGTTTGTTTATGGATGTAAATAGTGCTGTTACATCGAAGGATATCATTATCTTGTCGTCTTCTATTCTGGTGTCCTTGATGATGTTGAGGAATTCTTGGGAGGAGTGGATGGAGTGGGTAGTGTTGTCAACTAAGTATTTAAATTTCTGTTCTAATTCTTTGGCTAGTCTATATGTTGGTGTGCCTTGTGTAGTGAGACAATGGTTCTGAGGGGGACTCCTGGTTTGTGTACCTCAGGGAGTCCATAGAAGCAGGGTGTGTTGGATACCTCTGGCTTCATTTTTCGGTCGTCTGTCTTACTGATATCTCCTCAGTCGTGTAATTTCTTCAGGGTTGTTTTAATCCAGTTCTCTAACCGTGGTGTTGGGTCTGTCGCCATCTGTTGGTATCTGCTAGTAGTGCGTTAGCTTTCTCGATGTGTCAGGCTCTATTAAGGATTCCTGTCATGCATCCCTTCTCTAGTAAGATTACGATGTTTCTGTCTTTCTTGAGTCTTTCCAGGTCTTTCTTCTCTTCTGTGCTGAATGTGTTCTTCTTACCTTTACTGCTCAGGTGTTGGGACTATCGTCTGTCTGATGGTCTGCTGTATTTCCTCTGTGAGTCCGTTGCTCTATAGTGTCGATTCCAGTGCAGCCAGGAAGTCAGTTTTTATTGGCGTCTCTGTTGTTATAATTCAGTCGGAGGACTAGGACTGTCTTCTCAGTGTCTGTAAGGGGTTAGTCTGAGATGTTCTTGATCCATGTTTCTGTGGTGTCTGTTTCATTGTTATGGGTGAGTTTGGATAGTTTTTCTTGTAGCGCTATTGTTTCATTGTTCCAGTCTTTTGTTGCTGGATGGTGATGGCTTGTTCCAGTATGGTTGTCCATTTTTGATCAGTTGTATAGAAGTACAAAGTTTTTTGGTGTGCAATTTCCTGCTTGTATTTGTAGAGGCACTTGTGGGCATCATTAATCATAACCCTTATCATCCTGTGCAGCTGTTCTCCGTGCCTGTGGATTGTTGATAAGCGGTTTATATTTTAAGCTGTGTGGTAGTACCTGTATTCTGAGACATTCATGCAGGAAGTGTAGTTTTTCACAGGTACGCTCATACGTTACCTCCGCGACAGACCACAACAAGATGACACAACACAGCCAGACACACTAGTAATCCACCATACAGAGCCATATCAGTGATGACCACGAAGCTACTTGGACCCCTACCTACCAGGGGAGTCCACAAACCATCAAACACCCTGCGATAGCGACTGACAAACGTAAAGGATTCCATACTCAGACCCAATAAAAATAATGTAATGTACAAAAAACCATGTGAGAGACATTACATAAGTCAAACTGGAAGAAAACTGACAATAACGATACGTGAACACCAACTAGCCCCCAAGAGACACGACCAATTCTCACTGGTCTCAATACACACGCATAAAGAAAGTCACGAATTCAACTGGGACAACACATTGATAATAGCACAAGCGAAACAGAGACATGCCAGGCAATTCCTAGAGGCCTGGTATTCCAACTGGAACTCCATCAACAATCACAGTGAATCGGACTCAAATTACAAATCTGTGAGAAACAGAACCTGAAGTAATACCAACCACCCCAGCAAACCGAGGCATATAAATAACAAGCGGGACAGAACGTTGACGCTTCACCAGAGGCGTACTGACGTTGCAGACGTTTTGTCACCCTGCTAGGTAGCAATCAAACACACTGGCTCATCGAGCACGTCTACAACCTCACCCACAACCTGAGTTACAAATCTTCTCAAAAACTTTGAAGTGGAACCAAGCAAATATAGGGAGCACAGACAGCTACACCCAAAAGCTATAGTTTCCCAACATGTATACACAAATAACTCCTAACTTTATGATTAATAAGTATTTTCACCAGATACCTTAATCTTGAGAGTCTTATCTGCCATTGGAACTTTCTCTTCATTGATGACCAAATATTGTGGACGATAAGGTGGTTGCTCAGAGACCTTCTGGTCAGGAGGGGGTTCTGGGTTAGTTACTGAGAACTGCACTGATTGTGGATTCTTCTGGATGGGGACAGGGCCCAGTCACTGCTAGCTGTTGAATGATGCTAAGTGTGTGTGACCTGAGAAACCCTGCTGACTGTTCCTGCTGCTGACCAAAATGTGGAGACTCAAAACCAAACTCCCACAGTGAAGCACCACAATGTTTTAAAGCAAACACTGATATTTAAACTCAGTTTTAGACTTATACACACGAAAGTCAAACATTAAATACAGCTCTTAATCCTGCAATGCCCCTCCCCCAGAGTCAGCAAATGTCTCTTGAATAAATAAGTTAACAAAATAACTAATCACCCCTGAAGGGGCTCTGTAACAATAAACAGAACTTAACAAATTAAAATATAATTTTGTGTAAAGGTGATGCACTCCAATGTCTCATTATACGTCTGAGTAAAACAAATCATCAGATTAATAAATCAACTAAAGAGCTATCTTTTAAAGAAGCAAAGTGTCTTTTTGTACACTTTTGAGCAAACAATAATCAATGGAAGGCAACAACAGCTTTTAACTAGTTTCCACTGAAAGCAAACAGGAGGATGGGCGCTTACTCACTTTTTGATAAGATCAGATTGCCCAACATTTTCTTTGGAAGAGCCAAACACTCCTTAAAATTTATCACTGTGTTCTCCATTCGTACATCAACAGGCTGCTCTTTCTGGAGGCTGAGGAGTGCTGATTTAACCGTTCCTCGAAGCTCTAAGATCTCCTGCTCTGTGGCATAGCGAAGCAACTGGGACACCAAGCTTTTGCTCACAGTCATTCTTTTCAGTACATTCTCTGTTCTTGTTAAACTTTCCTGCAACTTCTGTACTCTAGCCGAGTGGAGTTCCTTCAGTTCATTCAGTAGCCTGCTCTCTTCCTCCTTCACCTTTTCAATGGCAGCTCTAACTCTTGCATTGATGAGCTCTTCCATTTTATATTTATCGCTGTTCAGCTTGTCGACAAGCATCTGCAGGTCCCCCTGTGTTTTGCTGAACTTTGTCTCAGTCTCTTGTACTGAGCCCAGCATCTCTCGGAGATCATTCTTTAGTGTGACAATCTGCTTCCTGATACCACAGCAGTTATGGTCCTTATGTTTCAGCACCAAGCACAGCACACACAACCACACTGAGCAAGTGTTGCAGTATAGACTAAAAACAAAGCAGAATTAAAAATTTGATCAAATTTTTACATCTAAACAGAAGATATCAGTGGTTCTCTTCTCTCACTGGTTTCCCCCACAGTGCACATGTTCTCTGTGACGAGCTGCTCCACTGTGTACCAGCCACATTGCCTCAGCAAGGGATAAATTAACCCTCTACCATCCACAATCTCAAAGGAAGGGATTGACTGTCTTCGTCCAGGCCAGCCAACAATGTACTTCTCACATTCCCTTAGGGTTGAAAATGACGTGAGACACACATTCCCCTAGCAAGGGTCAAACTGAACCCTCATCATCCACATTCCTTGAGAATCAGAATGACCCCACCAGCAGCATTCCTCAAGAGTCTGAATGACTCTGAACTACTCTATTCCCTGTGGGGATTATACTGACTCTGAACTACTCTATTCCCTGTGGGGATTATACTGACCCCTGACCACCATATTCTCTGCTGATGGTTCCAATGAGAGTGGCCTAAGTTAGACTTTTTCCTCTGAATCCACTCAGTAAGGTAGGACTACTTTCTATTCAGCACCTCCCCAGTGTTCCTAGAATGCTCTGTCTCTCAGGGTTGGGGAGCTAATGGTTCATTGAGGCCAAAGTAAGGAGTAGATAAAACTGCAAAGAAAACCTTTACAGGAAATAGCATGGCCATCCCCTCAAGAGGTGACGTTACCTAATTTGCTGATCATCATGAGTATTGCAGAAAAGATGCTTTGGTCTTGTAAGGATCTTCAAGAACTCGTCAGAATCCAGTTTCCTCAGTGTCCCCACGGTCTGAACATGCTTCTGATGATCAACCATCAGCACTTGATGTATGTTGAGGCATTTGTTACACAGGAACTTGTCACATTCAAGGCACATGAACTCTGGAGGAGTGCTGACCTCAGGAGGAGTGCTGACCTCAGGAGAAGTGCTGGCCTCGCAGGAGGCACAGGACA